AATTCTACAGTACTTCACCAACGGCTTTATCACCGTTTAAAGTTTATCACACGACCACAGATGTTTGATAGTGTTTGAATTTTAATATATTTTTTACAAATCGTAGTGATTTGAAATTTTGTAAGTGTGTGCACCTTAGTGAGATGCACATGAATAAAATATAAAACAAATAATTTGAATGATAAAATTACACAAAATACCCCTATAAAGTTTCAGGGGTAATTTTGTCATTTTATTTTATGACTATTATTTTCCTACTATTTTATTTTGGTGCGACTTGGTCATATGTACACACGCCCCAAATTTTAGATAAATCTGATTAGTGCAATAATTATAAAAATTCAAATACTACCGGACAACTGTGATCGTGTGATGAACTTTGGAGGTGATGAGATATAGGCGAAGTACTGTAGAACTTCACCTATAGGCATTTTGTAGATGCTTCCATATATATATATATATATATATATATAAATCAAGATTTCATCCAAAAAATGGGCAACCCACATCCTAGATATCCTTGTGCAATATGATATGTAATCTTGCAAGCATTTATGTGGATTTTATCCATTGACTCTTGCTTCAAACTGATCCAGAGCTGATAGAAATATTAAACTCTTATAGCGGATAAGCTAAGAATTCGGTTATAGTAATTGCCTCCGATCATGCATATTAGTGAAACAAAAAAAGAATAGAACCCTTTTTTTAATATAAAGAATAAAATGTTTATTTACTTTACTGGAAAAAATACCACAAATATCTACTTTATACGCTACATAAAAATATTACAGCATTACAAGTTAATCTATTAAAAACTGCAGACAAGAGGAAGGAATATGGGTCATGAAGGTGAAGAGACAAGTCAAATGTTCTTACGCCACCATAAAAAATCAAAGAATATTGCTTTAGTAGACTAAAACAGCATATCAATAAAACAAGCACTTAGTGAGAAAGGTCAAAAGGGTAACACCAATGAGAAATCCAAAACAATGATGCCATGTTAGGAAATAATAACAAGAGCGCATTTAAAAATAGTATCAGTTTCAAAGTCATACTAAGTAAAACTCAAGGAAGCTGAAACACACCATCGATGGTTATCTAGTTGAAAACCATAGATCTCATTCAAGAACAAACTCCAAAGATTGTCACCTGCATCAATAAACAGTGGAAGTTACATGAAGGAAGACCATTATTTCAAAGCACATATAAAGAATGCCACTCATAGTAATCACAAATAAAAGCATAAGAAAGTGGAAACTTGCGAAGGAACATAAAAAACAGATAATCACAAATAAGAACCCACATCTTAGTAGAAAACATGTTTATCGCACATAGGAGAGACACATGGCAAGTCACACCAATTGATTTATAAAATAAGGAAGTCATACATGGAAACTTTTCATTAAAATATATAAGGAATTCCAACGAGAACATTCATTATTAGGGTAATTGCTATCTGGAGGGTATACCGGATGCAGGGTGAAGGGTTTGGCCAACTCAATCCTAATGAAATAGACTTCTGTCAATCTACATGCATTTCCGATTTCCACATAGTTAAGGTAGGTGTACCATCAAATCAGGAGTGATATATTTACGGTAGAGTAATACGTAAAAGGGGATCTCTGCTACAAATATTTAATACAAGGAAAATTTGGCTTCATTTTTACTTAACGATATAATATTGAATCTCCACAAAAGGGTTCAAAGCAAAGTTGTTGGAGGCGGAAGCGGAAGCGGAGGATCATTGCTTACTAGGAGTTTGGTAGTATTGTTCAATGAATATATCACAATAGAGAAATTTTAAAAAATAAAAGATTAATCACAATTTGTTTAGATATTAGATATAAAATTAATATATTAATAGTATATTTACTATAATGACAAATAAATTTACTAAAATAAGATCTAAGAGTAATAACTTCAATTTATTTGCTTGAGTCATCTCACATATATAAGTCCTTCACAATAATCTATCAAAGATAGTTATATGATCTTACATTGCAAATGGTAATAAAGGATAGCATTTCAATCACAACATATGCACATCCTTCCATTTTCTTCACATGCCCCCCTTCATTAAAGAAATCTAGAGCACAAGGTAGAGAGAGCAAAAGAAATAGGAGGGAAGACAAGTCAAAATTTTATAACAATTGTGACAAAAGTCATACCTACCATTCCTTGCATTATATGCGATTTTGGGACGCTCTTTTATTGATGAAATATAAGAATCTCTTTCCTATTGAAAAATTTATAGAACACAGATATAAATAATTATTGTTTTATATCATATTCATAACATTCATTGCTTTTTTTTTTATGGATATGCATTTCTTGCTTTCTTTTTTTTATGACATGCATTTATTGATTTTTTTTTTTTTCTTTTTCCCTTTAAAAGTTGTAAAGCTTAGGGAAAATGTCATTTAAGGGGCTCAAACCCCTTACAAAATCATTAAAGGGGTAAATTATTCTAACAAACATTTAAAGGGTTGCTTTTTTTATTTTCATTTCACTCAGGTACTTCCTAAAAAAAAAAAACCCTTGAAGAGGGTTGAGAAGGCCAAACAATCAGGGGTATTTCAATAATTTGACCCCCCAAGGGGTCTAAACCCCAACCGCATGATGGAAACACCCCCACTTGTTCAGGATTATAGATAAGGAACACATTGTTTAGAGTTCTTAGTGAGGAACAATTAGGAGTATTTATGTCATGTAATACATACAAGCCATTTCAGTGCCAATTGATAAAAATACCCTTAGTTGTTCCCAACTATTAAAACTGAACAATGTGTTCTTTATTGGTAACCCTAAACAACCAGGCGTTTTTCATTATTCAGTTAAAGCCTCTTGGGGTGCAAATTACTGAAATACCTCTAGTTGTTTAGGCTTCCGAATCCTGAATAAGGGCAACTTGGAATTTTTATTTTATTTTTATTTTTATTTTTTGGATGAGGTACCTAAGTGAAATGAAAATAAAAAAGCAACCCTTAACATGTTAGTGAGATCATTTGTCCCCTTTAAAGATATGTAAGGGGTTTCAACCCCTTAAAATGATGTTTTCCCTAAAGAATATAGGTGTAACCTGTTGACCTACCCTTATTAGATTGGGATTGCACTTCCTTCAACATGGGATCATGGCTGGACTGCGATTGCCATCGATGTAAGGAGATCCCGTTAGCTAAGGTTCAAAATCTCAAGCATCAGATGGCCTCAAAGCCCAATGACTTAGGGTTTGCTGGGTTCTCCAAACATTAAACCATATGTCAAAGAATAAAAAGCGAGCTAAAGAAGCTGGAACAATACTATGACATCATGTTGCATTGTTTGTGATCATTTTGTTTCATTATGAAGGATAAACAGCTGTCGATATATATATATATTTTGTTGTTAATTTCTTTCCTTTGGATTTTAAGGGTAGTCGCCATCTCTGTGAACCCAGGCTGCAGCAAAAGAGGGAGACGTAGGGTTGTTTAATCAGTACATTTAGGACGCATTCGTATAGGATCGAGATACCTCAAATATGTGAGCAGGGAGCTTCTGATCAACTGGAAGAAGCAACCACGTTTTTTATGGGATAAGAGATACGAGGCATTTGAGATCTTGAACCCAAGCACATAGTTCCAATCATATTCATTGATGCACTCTTTGGCACCTCTGCAGTATTGCTTCCATCTTTGAGGTTTGGGATTGCTTCCATGCCTTGAAACTAGCCACTTCATAAGGCAAATAATGAGAGATAGGATCCTTTTTGAGGAGCCATTTCCATCATAAAGGCTCTTAACAGGTTTGAGCTTGTTTAGCAAGATGGTACTCAACTTTTTCTCTCATATGGATTTTGCCATTTTGAATTGTTTGGGATCATAAGGATTTTTATCGCTTTAGTAATGGAGCATATCATCACACCTCAAGGAAGATATCACATCAAATATAACATTGACGTCATTGTAGGGACCTTGTGGAAAAGGTATAGCAAGAGGAAGGCTACATAACAAAATCATATCCGCTTCCAATGTACAAATGCTTTTTAAAGATGAGCGTGTTGGTATAAGTGGCGCTTTACTCTTTTGAAAGTGTTACAGGAAATGTCAATATGATTTAAGCTTTGACCATGCTCATAGGGTTGAGCATCTTGTTTAAATCCATCACAGGCTCCCTCCTAGCTGAAGGTAATTCCTTAAATGCCATTAGTTGAGCTCGAGGGGATGGCGCACCTTCTGCAGACACTATGAGAACATTACTGATCTTTTCCGAGCGAAGCCCGTCCAATATGTGCACCATTGACCAAAGACACAATGGGTTCAGTGGCATATGCTGGAAATAGGAGGGGCCTTTTTATTGGATTAGAACCCCCCACCAGTCTGATGCTTTTGCTTTTTCTGTTCTCCCCAGACTCTTAGTTGTAGGGGAGTGGAGAAAACAGAGATCATTAAAAAGAGAAAGCAATAACTATATATCACTAAAAAAGGAAACTAATAATTATTCAAATAATAGTTCTTAGAGGCAGGACCACGAGTAGGAGATCATTGCTGGTTGGGAGTTCCCCACTTTGGGAGTGCCAAGGGAGTGCCCAAATAATAAATGGATAGAAATGGAGAATTTTCTTAAGATAAAAGATTAATCGCATTCATTACTTGAAAAGCTAATGCATTGAAAATATATTTATTATACTTGCAAATAACAAATAAATTTACTCCAACAAAATTTGAGAGCAAACTCATTTATTTACTTGAGTCTCCTCGTATACAAGTCTATCACAACAAATATACTGAAGATGTTTATTAGATCTTAAATTGTAAAAGATTATGATATTATTCCAGTTGAATAATATACAAACAAGCTTGAGGTAGAGAGAGCACACAAATATACGAATATAGAGAGGAAGGCATAGATAGACGGAAGAGAGAGATCATTGTATGTCTTGTACACATTTACTAAAAAGATGATGAATTAAAATCTCAAAACCATTTATAACAAAAGTTGGAACCCATCATTCCCTACATTAATCGTCATAAAGGGAGCATTTAATTTAAATATTTCTATTCTTTATAGATGTATATTCAAGAATCTCTTTCCCTTGAAATAATTTACAGAACATAATTTAAATAACTAGTGCTTTCTTTTTTTTATTGTATTTATGTTTGCTATCATATTTTTATGGATATACATTTCTTGTTTTCTTTTCAAGTATAAAGAATAACGTATCTTAACTTGTTGACCAACCTTTACTGGATAGGGGTCGCGCTCCCTCCAACAAGGGATTGTCGCAAGACCATGATCCCCCTCCAAGAGAACAGGATTACATTTGCAAAGCGAGACCGCTACCCATGCTAAGATATTCTGATAACTAGCATTCAAATTCACATTCCGTAAATTTTTCAAAAAGCAAAAGATTCTTAAGCCTGCATCAATTAGAAAGAAAATTTTGAATTCAATGCACCCTAAATTGAATTTAATGTAGGGGATAGTGAGTACAACTTTTGCCAATTGTCAGGATTTTGGCCTGTCATCTTTTTTAAAAATGTAGAACAATAAAGAGAAGGAACCCCCTCCCTGTCTCTTGCCCTCGCTGCTTCATGTTTTCTCTTTTAGATTGAAATGAAGGAGGATATTTGAAGATAAGGGCAAAATATGATCCTTTATTATCATTTACATTACAATGTAAGGTCTATAAATATTAGGAGTATTTTATTGTGAAGGACTTATGCATGAGAAGACCGAGATAAAAAAATATGAGTTATTACTCTCAAGTTTTATTTCAGTAAATTTATTAAATACATACCTAATTATTTAATTTACATTTAAATATTGTGATTAATCTTTTACTTTTTAAAATTTCTCCGATTTTTATATTTATTGTATGGGCACTCCTAAACTAGATAACTCCTAGCAAGCAACAATACCCCACTCTTGCTCCCACACTCGGTGCTGCCTCCAACAACTGTATGCTATGGCCATTGTGTGCAAAGGAATCAGCAAGAGCAATGGTCACTTAATGAGAGAATGGCTGCAATTTAGAGTTGACCCTAGGTTTAAGGTGGACCGAAATGGTACATGAATAACTGACGGCACATGAAATGAAACTTCAATGGGAGCTTAAAAGGATGTGATGACGGTTTCTACCAGAACCTGCAATGTTTTCTTGGGGCCGTCTACTATGGTAACCCCTATGCCGACACATTGTCAAGTATGTTACAAGCTTTTAGGCCTCGTTGGGCCCACAATAGCATATCGGTTTCTTCCTTGAGCATGACCAAATTTGCTCAAGGACCTTCTCTGGCTAGCAAATAATGTTTAAGAGATCAAGGACTAGCACAGCTTTAATATAGCATATGTATTCTATGCTATGCTGGTCTTTTTTTTTTATTGATACTAGAAAAGGTCTCTTTTTGCTAATTGAAACTAGGTCATAGATTCTTTTTTTTTTTGGGATAATTTTTACTTGATACCAAGAACCAAAGCTTGTAATTGAAGTTCCCTCCATAAAACTGTCTCTCACCTTTGAATGGAAGTACTTTAATAATAATAATCATAATAATGATAATAATAAAAACATGTTATGACACTTACTTCGCAGACCCAGGACAACACCTATTAGGAAGTGTAAGTTGCGAAAGGCTAGAAAAAGGCAAGAGCTAGGCCCAAAAGGACATGATTGGAAGTGGTGATAAAAAATGGGGACTCATGGCATCACTGAGGGTATAGCCCTTATTAGAGCAGAATGGTGGACCAGGATTATATCGCTGACCCCAAATAGTTTGGAAAAGGCTCTGATGATGATAATGATGATGATGTTATGACACTTACTTACACATGTAGAAAAGTTTTGACAAAGTTTTACTTGGTTGCCTACTTAACACAACCCACTTCTTTTACCCAGTCTTGGGACGCGTGAAAGAAAAGTTTAACGTCTTCACCCTTCTTAGACCATATTAACATCATCTAATATGCCAATTTTAATTCACAATCCATCATTGCAGAAATTTCAATTATATAGAAGACAAGTCCACGTTACAAAGATAAATTGTCACTCATAAACAATGTCTCAGGCAGTGAAAACTCAATAGCCAAATAAGCTCCACATATGCAATGGTAAATTACTGTTGCAAGACACAAAACTCAAAGAACTTATGTATGATACAGGTGTATCTTCTATCTATACTTATATTAAAACACCAATAAAATCTTAATTATCTTACCTTCAACTTCCATATCGACCACACCACCAAAAAGCAAAGCTCGTTTCTTATGTACACACATGGAAAACCCAGACCGAGGTCCAGGAGGCATCCCAATCTTTTTTACCTGCTTCAATTGGAAAAAACATCACAAACTGAAAATAGATGTAGGAGTCATATAATTATTAATATACTAACATAAATTGATGATAAGTGATGCTTCACAAATTAATCTTCAGTAAATTTTACAAAAAATCCTTTAGCATAAAGAATCAGTACAGCGGGATTACAAAGAATAAACAAGATGGAATGACAGCTTTATTTATTATATTTCTTTGTATGTTCGACATTTGGAACATCTAATGCATTCACTCTTTGGCTCCTACTGAATTTTACTAATCAATGGAAATGAGTGACTAAATCTAGTTTAAGTGAGCAAATTAGTGTCATTTCATTTTGAAACTGAATTCCTTATTATCCAAGAGAAACTGCATTACAAAATCTTTTTTGACAGCCATAGGACAGCCCCATGGAATTTCTCTCAAAGAAACTACCGAGCAAGAGTCTAGAAATACTCATGTACATGAAACTAGTATAAGCACACAAAAGGTCATTACACAGAGAAAATGCAGATAGATAATAGTACAAACCTTGCTCCATTCCCAGGTCTTTGGATCAAGGGACCACAAATCGGAATGAACAATTCCTTTCTCGGAACTATTCTTGTCACATTCTTTAGAATAACCACCATATAAAAATATCTACAAAATTGAAATATAACAGTATCAGCAAATGTACTCATTAATGAATCTATAAAAGAGGTCATTTTACAAATTCATGGACCACAAGAACCTAAAAATATAGATAATGACAAGCCATTCACCCACTAGGCAAATAGGAAAGAAGTAACGAAGGCGATATGACATGGACATAGTAATTCGGCATCAATTGCAATAAACCAAAGAAGTATTTCCACAATATCAACCATCAATGGCAATCCACAGAATCACAATATGTAGATGGATGAGTGTGAACCCTAGAAGGTTAAAATCTAAATCCATGGCGCAGTATATGTGCTATTTCATCATTCTCCAGAAATATAGCAGCATCAGATTCAATAGTCAACTTGAAACCAGCAAAAAACAAAATGCTATTTCTTCTCAAGTTTTGTGAATATGAAGGTGTGCCGCATATTCATATTCATCATGCATAATCAGCAGCCTTAGTCACTGCTGGGATTTGGGTCGATGGGCTCCCAATGGTTGAAATATAGAGAGAAACAAAGGAGGTCAAAATTTAGAGAAAGACAGAAGATTGCTTGGGTTGTTGATGCTTGTTTGTTCTTTTCTTTGTGTGTTTGTGTGTTCTGTGCGTGTTTGAGTGTATTCGTATGTATTTTGATGCCCCAGATTTGTAAAGCCATGGTTTCTTATCAAACCATTCTTGATTCTATAGTTTTACAGGGAGCAACAAGAACATTTAGAGAGAATGTATGAGTTTGTAGAGAGAGATGAAGACTTGTACGAGAGAGAGAGAGAGTGAGAGAGTTTTGAAGATTGAGGCGGCTGAAGAAATAGAAGAATTTCAGTGAGTTTCGCTTAGATGAATTTCAATTGAGGGTAAACCATTCGGCAAAAAAAATGTGGCCAAAACACCTTCAACCACAGAGATTTTAATGAACTTTGTGAAAATCTAGCAAATGGCTATCCACATTTTTAAAATATAGAGATTCACCTTCATTTACAGCCCAAACAAGGCCTGCGAAGAGAGCTCCACTCAATGTTCCAAAAACAGAGGTGGGCCCCCAGGAGACTAGGTGGCCCTGGTCTGAGTTAAGGGGTTCAAGCCCTATGGGGAGTTCATAGGAGCAGTTCATGGACCCAAAACCTTTGGAATGACCCCGAAACCCCTTTGAACATCATTTTCCAGGGCTGTTGTGCGTTTTGCTGTCTGGCAGTTGTGCTATTTAAAATTTATTCATCAATTGGATTGAAACTTGAATTTGAAATGCAATAACTTTGTAAGGTTTATTAGCCCCAAATCCATACAAAGTTGCATCTCCTTGCATTGCTCATCATCAACATGAGACATAAGCAACTTTAACACAAAGTAAATACATAAATAAATAGATAAATGAAATCAAATTGTCAACAAAACTTAAAATACATAAACTAATAAAAAATCAAAACTCAAAGCATGATGACCACATATGATGAGCTCAAAATGACAGTTGAGTTTTATCATCATCCTAATAGAATTTGATGATGACGCCAAGCCATCATCATCAGAGTCATCCACTTCCTCAACATATTCATCTTCATCCCTTGTCTCCTATGATTCAGCTTCTTTCTCTTCATTCTGCTCTCTCACTCTCATCAACCTCTTCCCCTGCCTATGAGATTTAGATTGAGTGGTCCGCATAGGGCTCAGTGGTATCCCAAAAGCCTCACAAATTTCGCCACAGGTCAAGCTCTCTTCATGGAATACCTCATTATCCCCAGCATCAACCAGCCACTCACTGCTATCATCTACACTATCAAGAACAAGAGCATCCCTATCATTGCAGTCCTTATAGCGCTCCTTCAGTTTTGATTATACTAAACGAGGACAAGGTCGTTCAGTCTTTTCTGCTCAACTTTGTTCCTCTTCTTTGTACGGAGCTCTTAGATAAATGCTGAATGATCAATTAAAATTTTGCAAAACATAATATAGGTAGGAGTAGACTAACTGGCTAATAAACAAAGTAACTACTAAGTAATATGTAATAACTACTGAACTAGTAACCCACAAGAGGCATGGTTAAATAACATTACCATTTTAAACGTGTTGAAGTTGCATTCACATCCAAATGAGCTACAAGTCAAACTCAATATACGCATAGCCATTTGCCACAAATACGGGGCACCTGCCCCATGGATGGTCCATCATGCAGTTATTTTATGTCGTACATAAGGTAATTATTTAATTGGAATCTAATACTCAAGTCACAAAATCAACATGAGTAAATTCTAAACTTACTAGGACAGATTTTGGTCCTCTGCCTTATTAACAACTCTATTCTAAATCCATTAGAATCTAATACTCAAGTCACAAAATCCAAATGAGAAAACTTACTAGGAGAGATTTTGGTACTCTGCCTTATTAACAACTCTATTCTAAATCCATTAAGACCTTGTCTTGGACATCAGGATCAAGGTTGAGTTTGATGTTGCGTTGGTTGATTGCATCCATGAACTCACTCTTGTTGTGCATCTCATGATCGGTGTAGAAAAGAGCAAGGTTGAGGCAGTACCCTGCTAAGTTTAGTGCATTTCTCTTCCATCGTTTTCAAGAAAGCATTGTACTTAGCTTCATTAATGCCGAATATTTCTTGATTTCGTCCTTGGCAATCGCCATTGCTTTGTAAATAAGTCCCAATATGGGTACCTTCTTAATTTCAACCGACCGCAATACATTCCCTAATGGGTGAAAATATATTGAACCCTAGTCCAAAATCATGAGTCCAAAACAATGCTGACCATTGCTTTCCCATCTGCCCTCTTGGCCCACTTGCTTTTGGTACAATCTTCAGAGATAAACATTGTAATGTAGCGACCCCAGATCTCACCAAGTCTCTATCCTACGAGAACTTCGTCAACCCAACATAGTTACAAAGTTACAATGACATAACATAACATCTATGTTTTCAAAAGAATCAAAACAAGTAACAACAGTGCATAATAAAAAACTTTAAAATTTTGAAAACAATATGTGGTCTCAACACTTAGATATGTGGTCTAAACACTTCGATCAAGATTAAAAAGCTCAGTTTTTTTTTTTTCTCCCTTTCTTATTTTTTCGAGAAAAAAAAAAGTGGTTTGGACAACCAATGTCCGATCCACTCTTTTGGGCTAAAAACAGACAAGTGTGAATCTTCAAACCACTCTAATTTGTCATTTTTTCGTGTTCAAGAGCAATTTTGACATTGGATGGCCAAACCGCTCTTTCTGGTTTGAAGAAAAACAAGTGTGGTGGTTCAAACCGTACTCGTTATTTTTAAGTGAATTAGCAGTTCGAACATTGGATGTCCGAACCAATGTTGTCAGATTCGCTTTGGAGTCTTCTTCGGTTTGGTGAAAAAAATGAAGCAATTCGGTGCTTCGGCCGATTCGAAGGAAGACTTCAGATTTTTTTTAAAATTTAATATAAATAAATTAGATATTTATATATAATATAAAAAAATAATGGAAAATTTTAAAAAAATTAAAATAAAATTGAAAAAATATACTTTTATATAGGTATTTCTTTTCTAACCAAAGCAGCCTGAAGCTTCGACCCAAGTAAACCCAAAGCATACCGAAGCAAGCCGAAGCAGCCCGAATCTGACCGAAGTGGCAACACCACGCTACTCTTCGCTTCGGTTTATGCTTAAAATCCGAAGGCTTTGGCCGAAGCGAAGCGAAATTAATAACATTGGTCCGAACCGCTCTAGTTACAAAAAAAAAGTGGTTCAGACATGCAATGTATGTTCTGCTTTCTATCTCAAGGAAAAAAAAAAGAGGGAAACAAACATTGGATGTCCAAACCGGGGTGAAAGGGGGGAAAAATGAAATAGTGAGACTTGGGCGTAAAATATAACTTATGTGAGATGTTTTTGAATTATGATATTATAAGGGTTTTTTTGTAAATTCCCCTAAAAATAAGCAAGATTAGCAAGCTCTTTGACATCCCATACAACCATTTTAATCTCAAATGCACCCACCCTACTAAATTAGTATACCCTCTTGACACTTCTAACTTCGTTCTTTCTATACACACACACACACAAAAAAAAAACTAATCACCACCACATATGTCATATATCTCCCAAAATACCCTAAATATTTGTTAATTACAACTTCCAAGAAGACAATCACAAAGATTACTCCAACATTATGGAGGATTCCGTGTCAGAGTAGGGTTAGATTTATGGATGGCATCAGGGATAGTGGGGTTAGGGGAACTTACATGGTTTGGGGATGAGACATGTGAAATGGCCTTTGGGAACAGTTACCAAGACTAGCTCAAATAGTAACCACTCAAGAGGCAAAGGTACAAGAACACTAAGGAGGAATCGGGATGGTCTGAAATGGTGTCCTACATTTGCATTGAAATCTAAATGACAATGAAGCTCGCTCTCTTTTAAAATGCTTAATGTAAGAATTTATCACAGGTGAAGCGGCAAAAATAATGGTAGAAAGATATGATAACAAGGGAATGTTCTCAGTCAAATCACTTTTCCAAAAGCTACCAGGTGTGAATGAGGCTCCTTTCCCGGCTTGCGTGATATGGAGCATCCCAGCTACATCATGAGTCCTATGTTTCAACTGGTTAGCAGTTGGAGAAAAGGCGTTAAAAGGGAGCCATTTGCAACAAAGGCCTGCAATTTCCTAACAGAAGCAGACATAGTGTAAATCATCTCCTGATCCATTGAATCTTTTGGATCTGTTGTTTGGAACTATACTTTGTTAGCATGTTATTTGGAATATATTGTATCCGAGATATAGAATGGGTCTTTCCAGAGTCTCTGGTGGATCTACTTTCGTAGTGGAGCTTATGCCCTTACAAACACAAGGGCAAAGTACAATGGGTGCTAAGCATGGCAGCAATTTTCTGGGCATATGGATTGAAAGGAACAATAAGCTGTTTGAAGGAAAATTCTCAAGCTCGAGTAATGTAGATGAGAGAGTAACAGATGTGGTTATCAATAGGGTGATCATTATGGATGATTTAAGAGGTACCCTGGTACAAGATTTAGTTAGAAGATGGAAAATGTTGGCTGGTAGTTGCATGCTGCACAATGATAGCAACCACTAAAGAGGCTTCTTAATCAATAAAAGAGTTGCAATTCAAAAAAGCCAAATATAATTTGAAGTGATATTTATTGAATTATGATCAAAAGGGTCAGGACTCACAAGCCAAATAACTACAATTGTTTGAACTTTCAAAATCATTGTAAACTATTTTGATGTACATGTGTAGGGCATTTAATGGAGGGTATAGAAAGGCTAAACTCCTTTGAACCATTCACATGCATATGGAAGATCTTAACCCTCACAAAAATCATGTGCATGGTCATTCTAGAAGGCTGACCTCATCCTGAAAAACAAAAAATTGAAAACCACTTCGTGCACTTGGCCACAAGCTCCCTAGTTTGGGCTTTATTTCTTGCCACTGCAATGCAGAACCCATAAACAAAGTTTAGACCAGGCAGGAGCTAAACCATAATAGAAGCTACAAGTTTCCATTAGATGACCAAAATGCATAATTACCTTGAATTGGTCCAAGTCGAAAACATGCAGATCATTATAATACCTGCAGATATTTAAAACAACATGAAATTAACTTGCATAAGAGGAACACTGTCCAGATGCCTCTAATTGTCAATGCAATACATAGAATATGCGAACAATCAAGACATCCGAGTATGTTGCAGATAGCAATGGAGACAATAGCAAGTAAACCAGTTGGTTTTGATTCTTTTGAAACTTAAACTTTTAAGATATGACTCAGAATTAGACTCCTCAAAAGTTAAGAATGACCAAGCTAAATAGAGCATTAAATAAATTCAATCAATTTATGTTCAACGCATGATGAAATTTGTACCTGACTTCTCGTAGTGTGTCATAGAAACCACCAAAGACAATAAGCTTGTGTTTGTAAATAACCTATTGCATAACAAATTAAATAGTTTTGAAATTAAACAAAGAAGGCAATTCAAAGTAAAAATAACACATAACACATATCATATCAAAGCATCAAATAAATTACTAAATTCCATATATTCCAGATTACAATGAAGAAATGAATTCCAAAACAATCATCGGCAGCAAACATAATACAAAAATAAAAATAAAAAATTGTGATAGTGATTCCATGCAACAGCATAACAACCAGCAGCCTTTCTTAAGCCCTTCCTTAAGGTGTGATTACAATAAGCAATGGAAAAATCAACAAGAAAAACAGAACCCAAGATACCGCCATGATCAGGAAACCCTACAAATCCTTTTTCCATTTCACATTTATAAGGACAAATGAATATGAAACTCCTTGTGTTAGGCATTATCCATGGAAAGATTATGTTTTCTTTATTCGTTAACTTTTATAGAAGAAAGCAAAATTCAAAAGATTACAAATCTATCCTCACAGTAATAAACATTGCAAGAGCCAGTCTATCCCAAATAACCCCCAAGTCAAATAAACCATAACAGAGTATGCATCTCCTGGTAACTGCATGTGCACATACACACACATGAATATGTGCCTACAACATAAAGTATTAGCCACCATTTTGAGAACAGAAAGCAGCAGTTAGTTCTGCATGAATAACAGCATCTGGAATTCCAATCCACACTAAAACAATTTCAAATAGCAGCCCTGGCATAATGGCTAATATCCCATTGCTGCCTGAAACAATATTTGAAATGCACTACAAAGCATTGAAACAAATTTGAAATGCACTGCAAAGTATCTGTAAATCAAATATGAAAAAAAAAATCAAACAATTGCTCGCTCAATATCTATATCTATATAACCATGAAGCAAGACTAGGCTAAAGCAGCTTCCTAGTTAGCAGATTTCATACTCTTAGCACAGATAAATGGGCAAAAATTAGTTCAGAACATGATAAAGATAACCTAGAAAATATAGATAAAGATAAACTAGAAAATATAGCACAAAAAGTGATGAAAGTTGCAAGATATTTTATGTGTTCAACATCTTTCCACAACAAGCAAATCTTGCATACCATCCGATGGCCTGAGCGTGCACTTGGACACCCTTTCAATGATATCTGTTCCCATTGATTGGAGACTAGATCTAACATCCAAAAATCCTGTGATGTAGAAAGAATGAGTCAATAAATAAGCCACATTCATCTTTTCCATTAAAGAAGGAAAGACAGCAAAAATTACAATAAAGAGGCATTGTAAAGATTAAATAGCTAATCGAAGAAACATGAGGAACAGTCCTTAGAAAGGCCTACCTTGTAATGATGGAAACGTTCTTGGTTTGGCGAAGTAAACTCACCACCTGTAGCAAACAAAACAAGTACACAAAACATAACATCTTAGTAAAGAATACTATGATGTACTAAGAAAAAGTATAGCCGCTCAAGTGGTCTAGTTCACAAACCAAATAAATAAAGATGATTCTTCCATGCAACTGCCTGGTGGGCACTTCGTGGTGGGGGGCTGTTTGGACTCGAGACCAATTTCCATTCACGCTTTTCAACATTGTACCGATAGAGATCGCCATATACAAATGTCTATATCATAATATCAATCAATGAAGGCATACCTCCCAATGCATGAAAACCACACAACCCAATCACATGATAATCATAGGAGACGTTATAAACTCAAGAAAAAAGGGGGGGAGAAAGGAAAAAGGACAATGTATAAATTTTACCTTGTTACCATTGTAAAATTCTCCTCCATGCAAAATCAACTCAGTTTCCTTCATTGGGTTTACATTCAACTAAACAAGCAGTGAAACAAATCAAATAGGAAAGAGAGTTTTCTCACTTAATCAAAAGAATAAAAGTAACTACCAGAAATGAAGAACAATGGCGAAATCATTAACAATACCGAGCAATTGGATCGCAGAGAAGGGGCAGGCACATTTTCCTCAACATGAACTTCCTTTTTCTTTGCTTCTTCCTTCTGTATACTGGCCTGAAAATCACCCACAGTTGATTTCCAAAAAAGAAACATATACTTGATTCATTTTCAACAAACAAAGGAAGCTAGAAGTGGTTGTCTATGTTGGTAATTTAAGAAACTAATGCCACTAGCTCTTCTCCACTACCAGTGTATGACAGACTAATAGAGAGAGAGAGAGAGAGAGAGAGAGAGAAATAGAGGCAGACTTATGCTATCCACATCACATGAAAAATAATTTTGTGAACAGACCCACGATTACTCAATCCAGGACACACGACACAGCAAATTCTATAGAGAGAGAGAACAATCCACAAACACATGAAAAAAACCATTACTGAATGGACCGGGATTACTCAAGCTAGGAACCGTCATAGGATGAAATTAATCTCTTCCAAAATCCACTATCACTCGTACCCGGATACACAATGAAGCAAAAGCGTGGTGGCAAGCTACTAATGTCAAAGAAAGAGAGACCAAGTCGCAAATTCTCCTAACAAGCCAACAAATGCGAAGTTTGAAATATGGAGAGAAAAAAAGAGAAAAGTAGGCAAATAGAGAGAGAGAGAAGAAATACCAGAATTGCATCAATGTCATCTTCCTGCGAGATCTTCTTACTTTCTCTGCGCCCTCTCTTCTCTTCTGCTTTCGCTGTTTTCCTCTCTGTCTTCTCTTTTCCCTTTCCAGGCTTCTTCTGCTTCTTCCCCATCTCCTAAATTTCAGCTCAAAATGAAAATAATCATCCAAGTTTCTTTCTTAAACCCTATTTCAATGGTGCAATTCAAAAACGACTCCCGGAGAGAAGAATTGGCGCGTTTTTCTTAACCTGGTTTTTTTAGAGAGAGAGAGAGGCTTGTCTGGGTAGGGATCTAGGGAGAAAGATAGTCGGCGAGTTCCTGCGCTAGTGAGAGAAAGCGGCGCCTGCGTTAGTGAGACAAAATGGCGCCAAGACCAGTGAGCCCTTTTAGGTTTCGACATCGCGTATGAGGCCAAGGACTCATGTGGAAATGCGGGTCCTTAATAATTTATTTTTGAAAGGGAATATATAATATTTGAAAAAATTTATATAGAGCCGAGGCTTTGAACCATCAAATTATTAGAGCCTATATCAAAAATTTCACCAAGAGAGGTTGTTTTGGTGCCCAAATATCCTTAAATCGATCATGGGCATTAAGATGCATGAACATGAGAAAACATTGGATCTTAAGTTTTGAAAATAGTGTATTTTGTAACACATTTTTTTACCGTCAATTTTTAAGATTTTTAAGTTTTCATAGATCTGTTGATCAACACTATTTTTTAAGCTTTAAACCTTATAGATAAAGATAAAAATAAATTTTAAAGCTATCATAAAGATTTTTAATGTTGAAACAACATTTTTCAATACTATTTAAAGTACGCATTAATTTGATTGTCTAGAGCCTAAGCTCTATACAAACCGCACCCTATAATATTTAATATAAAAGTTCTTAATCTATCAAAATAAATAAATTTTAAAAACTATAAGTGATATTTTTTGGAAAAGTTATTTGATCCGCTAATTTTACTTTTTCTTTGAAACCAATTTTAACAGGCATTGTAGATCTCGAGGCCCGTATAATAACAAGTTTGGGCATGACACAAAACAAGTTTCCTTTAGGTTCACTTGGATAAATTGTATAAACCAACCGTCTCTACACATACGTTGCCTCTTAACTTTTTAATTCATGTTTTTAATATTTTTCCCGTTTTTTGCAACGAGTGCATAGATTGTATATAATGAGACCATTCATCTTTGGTACAAGGATGTCCTAATTATTTACAACCATCTTATGTGAAATCTGATAGCTTGGGTGTATCATAAAGTTCAAATAAATATATTTTGAACTTTAAACTTAATCAATAAAATAAATGCAGTCACTCAATTGCACATCTAATAATCAAAATTAATTGTGACCACATTGTACCAAGGCAAATGGTCTCATTATATACTTTCCCATATAGAATAAATGGTTATTTGAGACAAAAATTCCTTATTGTCAATGAAATTATAAAACCTACACCCATTTCTTAATTTTATTGCTACGGTCGATCGGGTACTTAGAATGTCAAGTTGACCTCATTTCTCAATAAAATTGCCTAGGAGGCTAGTCTGGCACTTACGAGTCAAATCGGTCTCATTTTTTAGTTATATTGTCAAGTCCAGTTTGGCACTTGGAGTGCCTAACTGGCCTTGTATCTCAAGGATATATATTTTTAAAGTTTTGTCACGTTTTGGTTCTTGCTCAGTTTCATCAAGGTTTTAAAAACGGCTCTATGGCTTCAATCACTCCTCGAGATTTTCAATCAGGTTCGGCGGATTAGCGATTTCGAGAAGAAAGAAGTCGCAACCTACGCCATTGTTGAAAAAAAAAGAACTCGCAAGGAGAAAATACAAAGTCCTAAGACCCAATAGTTCAAAAAACAAGAGTTTTAGTAGGGGGAAGGTTTCGAAGTTCCCCTACAACATAGAAGTTCTATCCTCCCTTTATCCAACAGTCCATTTTTTAATGGAGCGCTAAGATTGCTCCAATCACAATGTCACGCCTTGCACTGTTTTATTTTTAATTTTTTTTTCTATAAACTATTTTGACACCAAATTTTAGATTTTCATTCATCTGTTACACTCGCACTAATGAAAAATATATAAAAAAATATTTTCCATAAAATAAAATGACCAAAATACCCCTGTAAGTTTCAAGGGGTATTTTGGTCATTATTTTATCAAAAATTTATTGTTAATATTTTTTATAGGTGCGCCCCAATATGAAGATGACATATACCAAATTTCATATTCAGAAGATTTGTATTAAAAAAACTAAAAATAAAATACTTTGAGACGTCGGATCCAAGATCAAATGGTGAGTGACTCTCTTGATAAAAAATGGACGGCTGGATGGTAGATCCGGAAATTTGCCTCGACTGGGTGCCGTTGGTTGTTATGATAAGGCAGACCAAGCCTTATCCCAACCTCGGTACATCGTGCTAGTGGGACTCAGTCAACTATGATGAGCAAGCCTTCCTGTTTTAGGCGGAGATACCAAACAAAAAATTAAGTGGGCCAGTTATCTAAAAAACTGAACAAAACTGATAAGTTCATACGGGAACTGGCCGATTCCCTAGATATTACTACAATAATATAGCCGTTCTATTATTTTGTAGACTATAAAGCCTTTTTGGTTCAGAATTTCTAATATTCTCTCTTGGGGCTGCAAAGAAAAGGAATGAAAGTGCTTTGGAGGAGCCTATGTGTACAGAGTTTGGTGTAGGGAGGGTTTATATAAATTTTCCCTTTTTTTAACTTCTTTTCCAATGTTCTATTTCATTTTTTATAAACCTTTTGGTTTTTCCGACAGCTAACTTTGAAAAGAAAATACAAAATTTTGATTTTTATGTTGTTTTATGGTTTATTGGAAAAAAAAACAGAGACCGTTAGATTCATATGACTCTATCGGGTCATGACAAAACATGATTGCGCTATCGGGTTTTTGTTTGGCTCTTGATTGTCTGGGTCATCGAGTGCAACTTGACCTGATTCGGGTTTGGATTGGTCGACCTGGTTGTGTCTCGCATCAAGTGGTATGCTTGGAACCTCTCACAGGCCACATTGACCACAAACTCACACACAGACCTCTCTAACCTAATTTAAAGCTTAAACACCTCCCCTAGCTCTGGATTCTAACCTGAAACCTTAGGCCTTTCTCTCTCCCTCTCTCTCTCTCTCTCGAAATGGTGCTAGCTTGTTGCCTCAACGTTGACACTCCATTCGCTCACCTCCACCCAACCAAGCAAATTGTACAGAACAAAGAGGAGCTGGAAACTGAGCAAGAACCAAAACTTCAAAATAAAATTTCAAAAAATAAAGCGGCATCTTGGAATCTATCCTCTCATATGCATGAAGTAGTGCTCCATATTTCCATACAGTTCAGAGAGAGAGAGAGAGCACACAACATATGATATTGGGAAAAAGAGGAAGGGCGAACACAGTACCTATAAGAATAAGAAATAGGGTACAACAGAGGAAAGGTTGCCATGCATCTGGGAACAAAATCCATAAATGAGGAAAAGCTCTTGTTCAATCATAAATACTCAATTAAGACCCATCTCCCCAATTCCTGCAATTCACATACAAAATTTGAAGCTGCATAAAAAATATATATATTTCGTAACAAAGATCAGGCAAAAGGAGACCTCACTTGGACTGATGTCACCTGGTACAAAAGAGCCTTGATTGTGGTTGCACAGTAAAATATTTTTAGTATACATGAAGGCATAAACTTTCTCTCTCCAAATTCAATAGAACAATCCCATTCCCCACAGATCAATTGCCTTCATTTCTCCAATTACCCCAAACATTAACATCGCAAAAAAAAAATATATTTCGAATCCATAGATTGAGGCCTCGGTATTTCACATAAATATCTGAAATGCTATCAAATATTTCAAAAGCTTATTTGCCTTGGTCTTGACTCTCTCTCTCTCTCTCTCTCTCTNTCTCTCTCTCTCTCTCTCTCTCTCTCGTCTCTCTCGTCTCGTCTCGTCGTCTACGTCTCGTACGTACTCGTACGTACTCGT